GTTTATTTAAAAATTTTTAACCGACAAAAAACGCATTTAAACGGCTCTTTTAACGATCGTTCGCTAACGCGTTTATAAATGGCCGTTCGCTAACGCGTTCGTAAAAACGCGTTTTCAAACGAATAGATTAAAAAGAAACGCGTTTAAACGACAAAAAAAAGCGTTGGTTTTGAAACCTTTAACGCGTTTTTTGGTCGTTAAAAACGAAAAAAAAACGCGTTTTTTTGTCAATTTTTTTACCCCTGGGATCTGTATTCGTTCTATCAACTTTATCAATTCGCACACCAACACAATCTCCAACATGATACACAACAGATAAATTTTTCATATGATCATCGTATGTTTTTTGACGTTTATTTGCCTCATTTAAATAATTCTCTGCAGCAAATTTACGAATTTCTGTATGACGACATATTCATGGGCTTTCAACTGATGTAGAAGAGCTTGCAAATACAACAGTATTAGCTGTACCTTGAGTTGGATCAACAACAATTGTACCTGAAACAATATTGAGGTCGTTAGGAACTGGATTTGTGTTAATAATAACAATGTTGGATGGATTATACAAACTACTGTCATTGGACGAAGTTAAATTATTGACGAACAAACAATCGTGTATCAATTTTAATGAAACGGCAATGAAGCAATATCTGCAACAACTTCATGGTCTGTAAAATTACTACTACTCGCTACATTCTGATCATCTTCGATATTTTCCGCATTTTGAATCATCTCATGTATGTCTTTTGGAAGATCGTCGTGTTCAACAACACCAACAACTCGAATATTGTCCCAGAAAACACAATCTGAACGCGGTTTTTGACCAAACATCACTTCATATGAAGTACATTTTGTACCTCCAGCGACCCTTGTGTTAATACCATATACTACTGGCATCAAACTCTCCGACCAATGTAATGAACCGGTGGACGACAACCATTTGCCTAGCGAGGCGCACAAAACCGCATTTGCTCGTTCCACGAAACCCTGACATTTTGGATTTCTCGGTAGACCATGGACAATGAACATATTTGGAAAAAGATTTTTTAAATCGACAACAAGTTTGTTCACAAACTCCCTACCATTATCAGAATGCAGCAACCGACACGGACCAAATGTAAAAAATAACATGCGTAAATGAATGACAACTTCCTCAGGTGATTTAGCTTTCAATGGAAATGCCCATGTAAATTTCGAAAAATGATCTTTGCAGTTCAAAATCCAGGAACAAACGAAATCTTTAGAAACAATAATATCCGGACGACTTCTCATATCAATCAAGTCAATCTGTAATCGTGGTGTCATTACTCCTAAAGAAATAATTGGCTTACTTACAATGTGTGTTTTTACTGGTTTACGCATTTGACAATCAATACATTGTTTTAAGAAAATTTCCACGAACGCACGCGGAATCCATTCATAGTTCGACGAAATCTCGCTCAAAGTCTTGTGACGTCCTCCATGTGAAATTCTTTGATGACACTCGTTAATTAGGTGATAAAAGGATTCATAAACAGCAATCGGCTTTATACTTTTCTTATCACAAATAATATCAAAACCAGCTATTTGGGTTAAGACAATTATTTTTGCACCAATAAAGGAATTTCGCTGAGAAGTTTCCATTTTTACCTCTGTCCATTCTTAATGCAATTAAAATATCATCATGCGAACGCTTTGTTATTACAGTTTTTTCACGATATTTTTCTTTTAACGTTGAAATATAATGATCAGCTTCTTTAAAAAAACGACTTTCACTGTCTCCATTGGATGTAA